CCAGCTCCGGGGCGCGGCTTGTGGCTGCAGAGCCTCCCCGGAGCGGGGCCCTGCGGCTCGGGCGGGCAGGCGGCATTTCCCCGGAGACAAGGCAGAGCCCGACAGCGCCCTCCCCGCCTCCTCCTCGGGCCTGCCACAGTCACTTTGGGACAGTTCAACAAAGCCCTGAAAGAGGCTTATCTTGAAGGTTGATTTGCCCTCAGTGCGTGGCGTGTTGAAACCCGCTCGTTTCTGGCGCTGGTGTCTGTGACCAGCACCAGCCGAGCGAAGGAACCGGACACAGCACGGCATTTATTCCTGTGTAATGGTATTGCCAAGGAAATGGTCGGTGGATTTGGCTCCGCTGTGTTCGTTTGTAAATCCTTTGCCGGTCAGAGGGTTTGTACGTGAACGTAGACTGACAAAGCAACTTTACTTAGCTTTCTGTTTCTTTGCCGGGGGAATCCAAATTGTTTCCTACTCGTCCTTTGATTCATTTCACCCCTGCAGTTCAACTAAATATTTCTACTAAATATTTTCCTTTTTATTTCCAAATAATTTAAGAATCGGTGGGTATATCTGTTTTGGGGAAAGCTTACCTGGTCTCATCAGCCTTAATCAGAACCTGCACGTCAGCCGCTGGTGATAGTTGTTAGGGCTGTGCGAAATTTCGTTAAGTTTCGACTCATTTCGAGGTCGAAACAACAAAATCGAAGCGAAACAAAGGGCGTAGAAACCGCCGCGAAACAAAACGAGGCTAGTCGAAACGTTTCGAAAGTCAGAGCGCTGGGGATGGGAAGTCAGTCCAGCTGGCCTGACTCCCCGCCCCCGGTCCCATCTAGCGAAATGTCGAAACAGCCTCACTGTTTCGAGGAAGCAAAACGGAACAGCTGTTTTGAATCGAAATGAAATGCGAAACGGAGCATTGTTCTGTCGAAACCCCAGGCGAAACAGAACGGTGCTGTTTCACACAGCCCTGAAGTTGTGCGTGGTAGGGGGTGCTGTAAACAGAAGCAGTATCATAATTAACACTACCCTGAATTCGTAAAAACAACAAAAGTACGGGCAAAAAAAAGAGGAGGAAATAAGTAATTGATTAACATTAGGGAGGAATGTGTACTCTGCTTTCTGCATAATCATGTGTTTGTGAAGCAGAGTAACTATAGATCAATAACCATCTAGAGGACGAGCTTATTACACAGATAGCAAAAGGACTGCATGCTCTGCAGATTTGTCAGACGAGGACTATGTCCCTGCAAGCTATTCTGGCAGATTCTGATGTCTTCAGGATCTAGTATCACTCTTATAACTATATAATAGAGAAATCAAAGATGAGATTATGATAATTCATTTGAAGTGGTAGAAAGGGGTGGGATGTACCTTGCATTAGCTGCTCTGTGCTAATTCGTTTGTGCGTGCTCTTACCCTGTAGTAAATAAAAGCTAACCTGAGGCATAACCAGCACTAAAAGAGTGATGTTTTGTTAACACAAAAGATTGGGGTGTTAACATCACGTGACACCCCAATCTGTCCACACACTGTACGAACAAGGTCTAAAATAGCCAGAGGCTTCCCTTATTTTTAAAAGCACTTGTAATTGCTGTGCTATACCTGATACAGTATCGGTTTTGAAATGGGGGAACTATTGCTCAGCAGTGGTGCTCTCAGGCATGTTATGTTGCTTCGCATGGGTTGCCTTCCAAAATGGAAGCAATGTAGCTGTGACTACAATAAGTAGTAATAAGTAGACTGAATCACTTAGGGGTGAGTTAAGTAGCTTAGGGGTGGCAGAATGTTGCTCTGATTCCAGGTCAGCAGGCGGCCTAGGCCAGGGGTGGGCAAAATACGGCTGGATCTGGCCTGCCCAGGAATTTTATCTGGCCTGTGGTGGGTCCTTTGGCCCCACCCAGTCCAGGTGCAGGGGGCAGCCCATATCGTGACACATGGCTGATCCTGCCACCCCTGGGTGCACAGCAGGGCAGGGGCAGCATGGTGGCTAGACTTCACTGCCCAGCACCCCCACAGCGGCAGCTCCTTTCAGCTGTCATTGCTAGCGTCTCAGCCGCTCCTAGACCCAGCCCCACTGCCCGGGCACCCTGGCCCTGCACCCACCACCAGCGGCCCTGGATACAGTTGGAGGGAGCGGGGGGGCGGTTCCATGGAGACTGGCTGGGACCCCTATGAGCAAGGCACGGTCAGCTGAGTGGATGGGATGGGAGTTTTAATGTGTTAGAAAATTGCACTGGGGTCATTCTGGTAGTGTTTGGAGCATTGAGTTGTGGACATCCTAACACTCATGTTCCTCTCTTTTGAACAGGTGCTTCGTGGCATAGCTCAATGGAGATCACATTCTACTCAAGCTGCTGCAGTGTCACATAAAGTCAAACCTGGAGTTGGTTTTAATTTAGGTAATTAATGCATGTCTGAGAAATGTTGCCAAGTACTCGCTAATACAATTTAAAGATACTTTTGTTGTAGATATAGCATAGCTATCCTTCAGTTACTTAGGAATGTTTTCAGATTATTGTAGTGTAGCATGATACTGTAATTCTGATTCACATGGGATTCATTCTACACACAATTGTTTGCTTATCTTTTTAAATACTGCTACAGCCAACACTTCTTTCTTGCTCAGCTAAGAAAAGCCTTGCATAGCTGTAGTTTAAAAATTCTCACAATGTGGTTTTTGTTCCTCAGTGCTGGAGGCTTCTGCCCCTGGATAACATAGTCATGGTTTGTTTTGAAATAGGGGGTTAACTCTAAATAGTTATTTCTCCCAGTGCATGGCAGCAACCTTGGACTTGGGGGCAAAGACTGTCAAACCTTAACCTTGCTCATTCCCTGCTCCGTTCCCATCTCTACAGCATTCCTCATTTATTTTGATAGTATATTCAATTTATGTGAATGTGAAAAATTTAGCTCTTTCTTTTATATATATTTATATTTATGTATATATGTAAAAGAAAGAGCTAAGTTTTTCACATTCTTGAAGTGTAGACTTTAAGAACAACACCAAAAATCATGAGAATTGGAAACATTGGCTTAGGGAGTGGTGGGTTTTGGCGCTCTGGAATCTGTCAGGCCTTTTTCTCCTTCTTTTAGGTAGGAACAGATTAATGGATAATCTTATAAGTGGGAAGTTTAACTACAGTGTAGAATGTGTAACTAAACCATTTTGTTTTCTAGAGCTCACTGACGAACAGAAAGAGTTTCAAGCTACTGCTCGTAAATTTGCTAGGGAGGAAATTATCCCTGTTGCTGCACAATATGACAGAAGTGGAGAGGTAGGCTTGCCAGATTTTAGAGGAGAAAAATAGTTTTATACCCTAACCTTCACACAACTGGACTATATTGGCTTCATGAACCAGGATGTTAACATATCTCTCTTTTTATTTTCAGTATCCTGTTCCTCTCATAAAACGGGCATGGGAACTTGGTTTGATGAATACCCACATACCTGAAAGTTGTGGTGACTAAGCATTTCTAAGCTATAAAATTAAGAGAGAAGAATGTTAAAATCTATTTTGAATATGAAGAAATAAAGGGATAGCAAGCAGAAAGAATAAGGCTGTCTTAGTGAATGATTAAAAAGTTCTAGATATTAAAAGGCATAAGATATGAGTGGAGAGTATATTGGTGCATGAATTTAAGTTGTAGACTTTGGGCAGTTATACATGTACTATGGAGGGGAGGGGCAGGGCTTGAATTAGAATGGCTCCAAGAGCCTTTTTAATTAAAGTGCCTGCAGTGTTTTGGATATCGGTGTCCGTGGAGTGTCTTGTGTATCAGTGTTGTCAAACGAGCTTTAGTTAAAGTGCCCCATCACCATTTTTCAGCACGGGGACGCTACTGCACATGATGCTGGAATCTGCTGGAGTGCAGTAATTACCATACTCCTGACACACTGTAATTACAGCGTATCAGAGCAGGCTCGCTGCATGTGTATAGGCACCCTAAAGGACTAATCTAGCTGACTACAGGAATTCAAAGGTCATGGGGTAGCAGTCAGACTTTCTGCCATAGCTAACATTTGGATTAGTGCAGTATAAGAATAGCCAGGAAACTGATTATGTCTTATTTCTCTGCCTTTCTTGGCCTCTGTTCTGGCATAGGTTGGAGTCATCTAAGGTTTAGCTGCCCCATTTGCTGGCTGAGGCTAGCTGCAGCACATTAGTGTTGTGGCAGTCCCTAGGCACATATCCTATGGTAAGAATTCTGGTGGTATAGAAGCCCAAGCTGCCAGTTTTGTGCCAGCTGAGAGCTCTTTTAATACAGAGAAATTCTTGGCTGATCAGATAACAGCTAGCTTCTCATGGGCCTGGAATCTGGGAGAGAATCTTGACTCTTAGACATAGGAAGAAAAAAAAAAAGAATTGACAAGAGGTTTATTATAAAAACACTTCCCAGAGGTAAACTCCTGAGGATAGCTCATATACAGACCTTGATGCTGTGACATGCTACTTCTTAAGTAATTTGTTATTACTTCCACAAAACTTTGAGTTCTTGTGCATGGGAAACTAACTATTCAAATGAAATGGGTGGTAAATAAAAAACAATATGTGAAGGATATGGTTTTGCTGTTTTATTGAATCATTTTTTATAATGAATCATTGCATACTTCAGCTCTAAACTAGTTTTGGTAAATGAAATATTTACCTGTAGGTGGACTTGGACTTGGCACTTTTGACGCATGCTTTATTACAGAAGAATTAGCTTATGGATGTACAGGGGTTCAAACTGCTATTGAAGCAAATTCTTTGGGAGTAAGTTACATCTCTTCCCTACTATTTTAGACTGAAACATATAGAATGTTGTTCACTATATTTAAAGAATAAATCTTCTTTTGTAGCAAGTGCCCGTCATAATTGCAGGAAATGAGCAACAACAGAAGAAGTATTTGGGGAGAATGACTGAAGAACCAATAATGTGTGTAAGTGCAGCTGCTACTTTGTAGTGTGTTTAGGACTAATTTGACCTTATTTTGAAAAAAGTTACAAGGCATACTGATAATTTGCTTAACCCATATTAGCAAACGGACAGTCTCCCTCATAACAGCTTTTATCAGGAGCACTAAAATCTTTGTAATAAAATTAATAATTTTCTTTTTAAGAGGAGTGAAATAAAAAGAAAAGTATTACATTTATGTGAGCAAATGCGCAACTCGGAAAGAAAATAGAGCACCTCATTTCAGAGTATCAAAACACTGAACACTCAGGAGCTATTATAGCTTGAAGGTTGTGAAGACTTGTGTCCGGTTCAATTAGGTTGTCATAATTAAGGAATCCAAAAGAGAGTATTATAAAAGAATAAGATAAACATCCAACATTACTTTGCACTGTTATCTCCAGGTTTCAGAGCACTTCACATATGCTGATGCAGAAACTGAAGCAGAGAAAATTTGAGATTCTTAGGTCATACAAACCTATAGCTGTGGAACAGAAATCACCCTTTGCTTATATATAATAGTGTTTGAAGTTTTGTTGGTGTACAAACCTAGGGGTATCTGGATTCAGTTAACCCAAACTTATTTGTAATACTTTTAATCTTTAGAGCACAGCCTCATAAGTAACTTTTTAAATCATGTCATCCAAAACTACATACTTGGGTAGTCATACCTGGGTACTGTGGCAGGGTGTGGGGCCCAGGGCAAATCAGCCTGTGTGTGGCCCGGATGCAGCGGCAGTGGGGGTGGGTGGTATAAGTGGCTGGATGCAAATCATTTGGTGTTCTTGCATATTCCAGTTGTTTGTAATGGGATTCCATTGTAACAGATAGCATAAGACAGCCCCAATTTCTTGAGATCTACAATATCAAAAATTGCAATATTGCATCTAGAATGCAAAACTAAAATGAATGTGAGGTTCATTTTGCTGATTATAAATGGTATTTTTAGTAAAAGGCTTCAGTATGTCCTGAATGGGCTTTGTAATGAGAAATTGCATTTGAAATGTAACATGGGAGCAGTAGATGCTTGTCTCCATGTGTTTATGCTGTATTATACTTGACAGCCTGTTATTATGTATCTGTGCATGTGCATTTTTACTGACAGGCTGCCTGTCAGAACAGAGTAGTACAATTAGTTTTCTTGGCATTGAGTATAAATGTTATCACTGCCAGTGCTATTTTTGATACTGTGATGCCACCTTTCTACCCTCTGTATATATTTAACTATGAAACCTATATAAGCCTCATGTAATTCTTTTTTGTACTCAATAAAAGACTTTTTAGATATATCCAAATGTTAGATTGTGTTACTGACTGCTGTTCTAGTAAACTCTTCTATCTTTTTAAGATAGTAGCTGATCTCAATATATTGTACAATATGGGAACTTACATTTTTCTCTCTGGTGTATTACATCACCAATGTGACATTGCTTTGTCCTCCTGAGAGGGAAGTTGGTTTCTGTATAGCTCACGTGTTCTGCTGAAACTGACAACAAGGTGCCGCTGTAGACCAGTGAACCCCTAACCCATGGCTCAAAAACATGTTACCTGCAAGACCCTTTGACATTGCTCATGACCACAGGAAATTATGAAGTTCAAATTGAAATTGACAGGGAGAGCAAAGTGCCATGCTACCCGGAGCAGATTACTTGCTCAGTATTATTGGTTAGGGACCAGCAAGAGTCAGGGATTACTGCCGTAGACTGAATTATTAACAGTTGTTTGCAATAAAATGCATAAGGAATAAACAGAAAGGTAATAGGGACTTAAGAATTCTTACGCACATCTCTACCTACTTTCCCATTACTCCAGAAATCAATTACAGATCCGCTTATCAAACTTTTCCATATTTTCTAGCTAGTGATTCACTCTGAAAGTATTAAACATACCTTGCTTTTTACCTAATATTTTTTGCTAAAACTTCTTTAAATATTTTTGTGGAAACATATTGCATGACTGCGTACAAAAATGCAGAACTGTTACAGGTGTTAGTTTGGTGCACATGTTGCATGATAACTTATGCTTTCTTCCCCATTAAATATAGTGAATTTTGTCTTCAGTATTTTGCTTTGTGCTTTCCTTTAGGCATACTGTGTAACAGAGCCAGGAGCAGGCTCTGATGTGGCTGGTATAAAAACAAGAGCTGAAAAGAAAGGGGATGAATATGTCATCAATGGCCAAAAGATGTGGATTACAAATGGTGGAAAAGCCAACTGGTATGTTAGTTAGTTTAGTATTGGCATTACATTTTCAGTTACTGTTTAATTCTTCTACTTGCTTTAATAAAATTGAACATTTTTACAGCTTAAGTTTGGGATAAATGAACATCTTATATACTGAGCTAAAGGGGTGAGGGAGACTTACTGCAAATCAGGTGCTCCACAATAACTGTTTTGATGTCCACTCCTATCCTGTGGTAAGTGGAAGCTAAATTCATTAACTCAGAGCAGTTTCAGTTGAGGTAAGCTGCCCTAGTTTACTTTTCTGCTTACCACAAGATGGGAGTCAACTCAACAGTTACCATAGAACAGTAACATGCAATGAAGTCCCACCCCTTTTTATCTTAGTATAAATTGTCTGTCTGACATGTGTTACATTTATGGTGAGATTACAAATATTAATCGTGCCATAAATAGCAACATGACTATGTCCAGCCAAAATATGGCACTGTAAATTAAACATGTGCATGCTTCAACATCCTGACGCCAGGAGTTGACTGATTGTCAGCACTGGGACCTGGGCAGCTCTTGTGTGGGGTTGTTTCAGTCCCAATGTCATCATGGTTCATGCCTGCTAACGCTACATCATTGTAGTGACGAGCTACATCGCCGCTTGTCGCTACAGCGATGTAGCATCTTGTGTAGATGTGCCCCAGTGAGTCCTGGGGCTGTTTGGGTCTGGGCCTGACAATCAGTTGATAAACCCAGTGCAGGGTTTATAAAAATCCAATATCCAATTTGTATGGTGTTTTTAAAAGAATAGACTTTTACAACTGTCTCCAGCTGTTACCAGTGAGCATTTTTTTAAAAGCATAGTTCCCTTATCCTGTCCAATGTAATATCTTGTACTAGCTGCTTCACAGATATTCCTTTTAATGATTCAAATGAAAGTGTTACATTCACAAGAGGTGATAATGTCTAGGATTTTCTATTTCCTCAAGGTTTTGGGGGAAAAAAACCATTTAACTAGCCTGCAGCTGTTTTCTGGTATTGCTGAATAGTACAGGTGTGACTTAGGAGTTAATAAGCTTCTCTTAGAAATTAGCTACAACTGAGAGCCGAAATAATAAAACTATGCCCTTGCCAGGGATCTGTGGTAGTTGCGTGCAAAAATTTACACAAATTGTTTTGTCGCTCGATTTTATGTCTCTGTTGTGAAATGATCCATCTCTTTAGTAGATGTTTTGTGACGTTCTTGATAATAGCAGCATCACAAAAACTCACTGTGAATTTTGAGGAAAAAGTGGAGAATAGTCTTTCATATTAATTATGTCTCTGTAATTTTGTTGGTACTTGGATACCAGTGGGTTTACTAAAAATGCACACGAAGAAATGTTTTACTATTTAAAGCAGTGTGCTTATTGTTCATGTCATCTGTAAAAATAAAAGTACATAGTGCTGCCTTTTTTTGTAAAGAATTTCTTGATGGGATTCATGTTAGGTAGTAAGTGCTAGTTTAAAAATATCTGTTAACCTGCAACCTGAGTAAAGTATCTAGTTAATTGTGAAGTCAAGTTAATTGTGAATCTCTTGTTTCTCTGTGTTTGCACTAGGTATTTTCTGTTAGCTCGTACTGATCCTGATCCAAAAGCCCCTGCAAGCAAAGCCTTCACTGGATTCATTGTGGAGGCAGACAGCCCTGGAGTTCAAATTGGAAGAAAGGTGAAGTGTTTATGTAATTTATTGTTTTAAATTAAGATACCAGGAGTTAATCTATTGCTTTCTGAGCTGTAAAATGTTAGTAGATCAGTGTTAAAGAAAAAGTTACCATTACATAAATGAATATTTATTATTTATATACGTATGTGCATCATAAGTCTTTGCTTTGCATATGGATCTTCTGTGTACTTAGTAGTGCTGTTTCTATGTTGTGGTTTGCTTAAGATGTTGTTTTAGGATATTTGGGATAGGACGTAGAATTAAACTGATGACTTGCTACTTCTGTTTTATTAATTTTGTTTATTTTAAGTCGGCACCAGTCAGGTCACCATGATGTTAAAACTGAAGATCTAGTTTGATCTTACTTTCAGTAGTGTAACTCTTAATAATCAGGGAGTCATACCAATGCAAATAAGGAGTCAGTGAAATCAGAATTGCAGCCAAGGGCTTCTTATGTTTTGGCTGAAAATCTGAGATCTCCAGGCAAGCATAACTAGTGAGCATGAAAAGGAAGCAGCTAATCTACACCCTCTTAAATAAAAAAATCCGTGTGTACTTACTCTTGCAAGTAACACTGCACAGGAAAGGAAAATTCTTTACTCCAGGTTTCCCATTTTGCATGTTATAGCACTTTGTGTATGTCTGCATAGAGAGTCTGTTGCTTTTTTATGTGGATCTTTTGTAGGGAAAAGAAAAATATAATTTCAAATCTGCCAAAATTGTCCAGTCCATTCAAGTGGCAAAATCCAGGGATATCAGATTTACCCCAAAACCTTCTCTGCCTATGTCCTTAGACCAACATGGCTACAACCTATACCCCTGTAAAATCCTGGGATAGCATTTGTATTATACGGACTCAAAATTAGCATTTAACCAGAAAAGAAACATACCTTCCCTAATTTTTATGGTGTGTGAGATCATTTGAATGACAGCGTTTTACACAGCATGTCACATTTGGTTCTCTAAGCTCTTGAAATGTTGCCTAAATACTGATTGACTAATTTAACGAGATTAGAGGGACTGTCACATAGATTTAGAGCTGATGATTATAGCTTTACATTCTTTAAATGTATACTGAACAAATCATGTCTCAGTAGAAAAGACTTGATTACATAACATTTTAATAGAATTCTTTTATTTCTGAAGGAATGATTTGTCTCTGAGTGTTTGGAACTATAAATGTTACTTGTTTACAAAAGGTGAAATTATCACTTCTGATTGTATGATAGAAATTAAAAAAATAAAGGTCAAGAGGACAAAAGCAATTAATAAAACTGAAATATCTTTAAATATCAATTTTTCACCATGAATATCTCAAGCAAGGTTAAAATTATTCTGCAAGAATCTGAAAGAACAGCCTTCTTAATCAGATTTTGTTTAAAAATGTTATTTTAAAAGAAATGGGTAAAAATTTTAGTAATGGCTGATTCTACATTGGTATTTGCAGTATGTACGTATGAGTATTTTGTAGGTGTAACAGAAGTGTTTATTGGTTGAGAAAAAAATTGGTTGAGAAAAATCTCTTTTTTCCTCTCCTAGCAAGCTAACATTTAGAAAACATTGCCTTGGAAGCATTTTGTTCCAATTACACTTTTGTAAACTTTCTTTGCAGGAGTTCAATATGGGTCAACGCTGCTCAGATACAAGAGGTATTGTCTTTGAGGATGTGAGAGTGCCAAAAGAAAATGTACTCATTACTGAGGGAGCGGGCTTTAAAATTGCTATGGGAGCTTTTGATAACACCAGACCTCCAGTAAGTAGCAGAAATAAGTTGTCTTCAAAATATTTTTTTTAAATGGCAGATTCTGATTTCACTACATGTTGTATCTACACAATGCAGGTAGCAGCTGGTGCTGTGGGGCTAGCGCAGAGAGCACTGGATGAAGCTACTAAATATGCTATGGAGAGAAAAACCTTTGGAAAGTTGCTAGTAGAAGTAAGTTTATTATAAAATAATAAGCTGTAGTTTAATAGCATGTGTGCTACTAAAATAGCCTACTTTCATAAATCTGCTTGATTTCATAAGGTAGCACAGCATCCGTTCACCCTTGCTCTGGTTTCCAAAATTACGAATAAAGCTAGCCATGTGCTAAGTCCAGGGATTCTTAAAGAATGAATTGGTAAGCAGTCTGGCTTTCAACCCAAGTGCTCACACTTAATGGCAGCAACCAGATATTCAGTCCCCTTCCTTATTAGGAAAAGAGTTTCACAGAAAGAAAGATTGATCCCATATTCTCTTTGATGCACATAAAACAAAATGTGGAATATACTAATATGGTTAGAGACAAAGTAGACTGGCAAACATTGAGATTAATGACTGGTTTAAAAAGAACTTTAAACTAGGTTTGCTGGGGATGGAAAACAAAGCCCTGAGGTAAATGGGGAAGCAGGTGACCTGGAGGAAGCACAAGCAGGCAGGGCCAACTGGGGAGGCTTTCTCATTCTTGAGAAAGTAGGAAAATTGGCTAGTTACCTCAGATGTCTGTATATGAATGCACAGAGCTTGGGAAACAAGCAGGAAGAATTGGAAGTCCTTGTACAGTCATGGAACTATGATGTAATCGAAATAACAGAGACTTGGTGGGATAGCTTGCATGATTGGAGGGAGTACTGTCATGGATGGGTTTAAATTGTTTAGGAAGGATCATCAGGGAAGAAGAGGAGGGAACTGATGGATAGAATCCCCTGGGAGGCCAGTTGGAGTGGGAAAGGATTCCAGGAGAGCTGGTTGTACTTTAAAGAAACCTTACTGAGAGCACAGGAACAAACCATCCCACAACTAGCAAGTATGGCAGAAGACCAGCTTGGCCTAGCATGAAACTCTTCAGTTTACTAAAACACAAAAAGGAAGCTTACAAGAAGTAGACAAACTGCTAGAGAGGAGTATAAGAGTATTGCTGACGCATGCAAGGATGAAATCAGGAAGGCCAAAGTGCATTTGGAAGGGTTTCTACTAATATGTCAGCAACAAGAGAAAGGTCAAGGAAAGTGTGGGTCCATTATTGAATGGGAAAGGCAACATAGTGAAAAATGATGAGGAAAAGGCTGAAGTACTCATAGAATCATAGAAGTAGGGTTGGAAGGGACCTTGTAGATCTTCAAGTCCGACCCCCTGCCTGGGCAGGAGAGAAACTGGGCTCAAGGGACCCCAGCCATGTAGGCATCCATCGAGCCACTTCTTAAAGACCCCCAGAGTAGGAGCCAGCACCACTTCCCTTGGAAGTTGGTTCCAGATCCTAGCCGCCCTAACTGTGAAGTAGTTCCTACGGATGTCTAATCTGAACCTACTCTCCAACAACTTGTGGCTGTTATTTCTTGTTATCCTGGGGGGGCACTGGGGGAAACAAGGTCTTCCCCAAACCCTTCTGGTCCCCCCCTAGTGAGTTTATAGATGGTCACAAGGTCCCCCCTCAGCCTTCTCTTGTGAAGGCTGAACAGGTTCAGGTCCAGTAGCCTCTCATTGTAGGGTCTGCCCTGCTGTCCCCGGATCATGCAGGTGGCCCTCCTCTGGACCCTCTCAATGTTGTCCACATCCCTCTTGAAGTGGGGCGCCCAGAACTGGACACAGTATTCCAGCTGTGGCCTGACCAGTGTCACGTAGAGGGGGAGGATCACCTCCTTGGCCCTACTCGAGATGCACCTGTGGATGCACAATAGGGTCCAGTTAGCCCTGCTGACCGTGACCTCGCATTGTCGGCCCATGTTCATCTTGGAGTCAGTGATGACTCCAAGATCCCTTTCTGCCTCTGCTCTCAAGAAGAGAGTTTCCCATCTTATAAGTATGTTGCCGGTTACTACTGCCCAAGTGCAGCACCCTGCACTTGTCCGTATTGAAACGCATCCTGTCAGCCCACTCTTGCAACCTATCCAGGTCTTTCTGCAGTCTTTCCCTCCCTAC